GGAAACTGTTTGATCAGAATTTCTGCTCGGCATGTTTCTCAATCCTCGTGTTGTGACTATCGGGTAATAGTTGGTTGCTCACGTTTTATCTGTATTTGTTGGCTTCAGCTTCCTTCACTTTACAGAAACGTGTTGAACACTAAAATTAATCGAACTGTATGTGACTATTGATCGTGCTGGCAGCTCCTGAAATTAAAGGCCTTTTTTGCACGGAACAGCCCTTGTTAATTTGTGGATGGATGAATACTAGGCTTATACTTCTGTAAAAGCAGCACATTATGGTTTAGCATATCGACTTTTGCGCAGATCTCAATCCGAAATCATCTGCCGCATCTCGGACCTCATTTTTTATGCGTAAGGCGCGAGCACTCACTGCCGGTACTAGTGACGCGTATGCCTTGCTATTTATTCCACTGTCTTACCGAGCCGTTGAGATGTTCTGAATGAAAATGGCAGCTATCCAAATCAACGTTGAACATTGCGCTGTGCTTTCCTGAAAATCCGTGTTGTTTTAAATGAGTGCGCTGTTTTAGTCTTTCACTTCGTGCGACTGTCCCACGATAGTTAATGACAAGCCAGTCGGAACGGACAGATGTCCAGTGAATTAGTGTTGAATGACTGGCGGAATATCTTTGAATAATTTCTTATTTTAGGGACTTACAAAGCGTGAAGAGCAGTCGGGTTCGGCAATCATAAGCTATTTTTCTGTTCCTTTGAGAAGTAGCTTCTGTTTTTATTGCAAGAATTTTTTATTCCAAGCATTTTTTTTTCTGGTAACGAAAGTTTTGTCATTAAAAACTAATGACGCTTATGCTTTGCTATTTATTTCAGCGTCTTGTCAGGTCCTCGAGATAATCTGAATGAGAATGGTAACTTAATACAAACACATGCGGGGTTTAAAGCGCTAAATGCACTGGTCACGGAGCAGCGCAGTTTTTCTAAGAATTTGCGGGGAAAGAGGTGAGATTCCTTCCTTTGTCACTTAAGTTATCAGGGCCATGCATTTTGGCCTCGACGCAATTCGGGTACGAGTTGTTGCAGCTTGTTGATCAAGTTTCTTGCAAATGCAGGGGATCATGGCTTTTTAAGCAGGAAAATTTAGGGATAATTGAGGTAGCCATAACAATTACTATAGTTCAGTTCGTCCTCTTTTACAGGACAAACTAGTTTCTGCGCTAATGAAACAGCTCAGCTCTCATGGGTTTCATCTCCCCGGCTGCTTGGGTGTTCTTCCCAAGTGCTAGGTGACTTTCCTCCGAGCAGGTAAAGTGGTTGGAGGAGAGAGTGAAGTGGCGCATGGAAAGAGAGGACGATATAGTGCTGATTTGAGTCGAAAGGACTCCTGGCAAGGAGGTAGCTGAGATAATCAAATGCCGAAGCTGGGCTCGGTCGCGTAGCACTCCTTTGCGGGTTTAGTGGGATTACATGGGTTGTCGAAAAGATGCAACTTCTCGAGAAGCATGATCCATGCAGCTTCAGTCAAATTCAAAAGTGTTTGCAGTTTATTTCAGATCCGAAAACGCATGCATTTTTGTGTTTGTGTTAAGTGCAAGTGTATGTGTACTTTCATCTTTTGTATTCACATGGCGCCAGGAATATGAGTCGGCGGGGGGTGGCTGCTTACATTCCTCGGTGGGCCTAGAACTTCCGCCATGATGTCCATGCCCGGTGGAGACAGGACTT